TAAAGCGTTTACATTGAAAAGCTTTATTAAACAAGTTTAAAATAACATAGAGGTTTAGACAAGATGTCATTCTAAATCATTGAAAAAAATTTTTTACACAAATATAATATAGTTATAACTACTTATCATAATTTTCTCTATATCAATATATTTTTATATTTATATATTACTCGTACTAGCAGAACCCGCGGGTTTACTCGCGCTGAAACTACATAAAAATCTCTAAAAAGGTAGTTTATACCACAATTTCATCCCTTATTTTACCCCCTACTACTATCCCTACACAGAAAATCACGCCACACCGTTTCGCTGTGAAAGAAAGACAAACAAACAAACAAAGAAACAAACACACTTTCACATTTATAATATTAAAAGTATGGATGTAATATATTTTTTCTTTATATTTCATTTGTTTCATTAATTTATTAAAATTAAATTTAATAAATTAATATAACAGGATTTTTATTTCAAGTTTTAAATCAACACAGAATACTTTTTATTTTTTTAACTAAATAAAAATAAAATGCCGTTAATTAGTTAACGCTATGCTTGACAATGATTGATTTAACTAATTTTTATTTCTAACTAATAACATTCCAAATAAATTTTTTTAGGAGGAACAAAATTTAAAAGTTACTCAAAAAATTGGGAAACGGGAATAACTGAAAGCTTTTTGTCCATAGGATTGTCATATAAACTCATCAATCATAAAATTAATTTAAATTTGGACAAAAAAACATTTGTTCTGAACTTAATAATAGATGGCACTGCCCAAGAACCTTGAAAGAAAGTAATATATGAAAAAACACAATTTACACATGTAAAGACGCAGGTAAAAACTAGTTTAAATATAAACTATTTAGAGCATGCCAACTGATATATAATTTATCAGGGCTTCACGGAATTTTATCATTTTCACGTGTTTGACTTGCATACCGTTGGGACGGGAATTTGTGCGCTACACTTGCTGATACGATGAGGTGAAAAAGCTTATTATATAAACTATTTACATATATTTTAAGTTAATTTAATATGTACATAAATCATAGTTTTAGTAATTCTTTTTTTATTAAATAATTTATACCTTAAAGGTCCTATTCACATGGATTCCATTACATACAAATTACAAGATGCTTTAGAGCAATCGTGGTCTCGGGAGAGACAGAACGTGGACATGGGAGAGTCTCTCCCGTGACCATGATTGCTGTGAAGCATTCGAAATATCCGGAAACAAAAATCTAAATTAATCGCATAAAAATCCAAAAAGATATTGAATACTTTTGTTGCGCAAATATTATTGGTTATCATACGAATGTAGAGTTATTTGAATATATAGTGTGCTTCAATATATTTGCCGCTGACTGTACGTCGTCCATTTCGATATTGTACAATATCTTTTATGGTTCGGAAACTGTGTGTATGATAAAGTATTGACTCTATAGAACATTTTACAAATAGTTCTTTTCTTTCAAAGGAAAATCAACCGTATTATTAGACATTAAAGTGTATATTAGACTCCGATACGATAAGTGAGTGGTATCTCATCCTTTTAATACTTTCTCTCTACGTCCACTCGGCTTTTCATAGTAGGACTCAGTAAAGTAAAACTTTCATGTTAGAAAATACCTAGTAATAGTATTTGCTCAAGCACGGTTGTACTGAGATGAAATGTTTTAACGTTTAGTTAATGCCGCAGTATTTTTTATCGAACTATACGTGTACTTCATAAGTATACGAATAATGTATTATGTTAAAATGGTTGTTAAATACATTGAAGTATTTGAAACAAATGTAATGCTAGCTTAATACTTTTATACTTTTAGAGTTAGGATCATCTTATGTAAGAACGGCTTCCGTATAGGATTTTTCAAATATAAAGAAATCTGTGCTAAATCATAGTAATGACTTGCACGTCTTAGAGAACATATTCTTGAAAGACGTGTGAAGTCCGCCAACATTTGGTCCGGCGTGGTCATCATTTATCAAAATCCCTCCAGTGGTTTTTCCGTGATGCGATTACAGACAGACAAATAAACATTCTAAAAACTATAGGAATCGTCCTCTGTATCAATAATACTGTCTATTTGAATAAGATTTTCCAAAAAATATTTAATGTACAGATTCGCCTTAGTTACAATTTTATTAAAGGTACGTACAGATTAAACTTTTTATGGGTAGTAAGATTTTTTTTTAATATTCCCGTCCTGGTAATTTCAGGAACTCTCGTGATATTTAGTTCGTACGTTTTAAAATTCTTGTGAAACATTGACAACAAAGGCAGCTTTGTAAAAGCTTGTACAAACGATTGACAGTTGAGTTGCCTTTATGCACGGTTTCCCAATTTTCATCCTATAGATTTTTAATATTTTCTAGTATTTTCAGGCTTGGCATTGTTATTTTTATACGCAGCTATTACATAACATATACATAATATGTATGTCCGCCAACCCTCACTTGGCTGTGGTGGATTATGGCCTGATCCCCCTCATATTGAAGGGAGGCCCGTGCCCAGCAATGGGACGTTAAAAAGAGCTGAGTACATAATATGTAAGTCTCCGACTGCATGATACAATGTTCCTTCGTCAACTTGTTTTCATCTTTTTAGTTCGCTTTTTACCTTATCGCGTTTTTTCATCTTTGTAAATATTTTTTTTTTCATCTATATACAACATAAAGTAAGTCCGCAATTACCGTGCTTAAATGCCATAAAGACGTTGTTTATGTTCTCTCGTTCTTTGCAGATGCATGGAGATTCCCATTTTTAGCTTCAATTACTTCTATATTTCTCTAGGAAAATATGAAAAATATGTATTCATATTTATAATTTACGAGATAGATGTAAATAAATATATTTTCTATACATGCTATTCAACAATCAACGAGTATACGTATAATCAAGACACGCGGTGGCGTGTCCAGCCAAGTTCAAGTCAAAATAACTGGCGACGCAGCACCGTGTGTATATTTACACAAACCATTTGGAGCCACTTTTCAACCTCGTAATAACTTAAAATCTATTTAATATAAACTCACGAAATTTGGTTCATTTATTAAATTCAATTAGATTAACTAGAATCCCTAAATTCATAAATACAGCTCAAACGGTTATTGAGATATTAACGTCTAAAAATCGGCATTCTTATCACTGACTGACTGACATATAGTTGTAAAACCTGACCCACTTCCAGATGACCTAGAATGTTGACATTTGGTATTAGGATAAGTAATAGTGTGTATACAAAGGAAAAAATCCAAAACAAGTAAATTTTAAAAAATTGAAAAAAATGAATTAATTTTTATTAAGACCTTCCAAACCACAATAGCAATAGCTTAGCACCTAGTTAGTGCCTTTAAAAATATAATAGCAATAACAACCATAGTAATAGCAAAAACTTTTTTTTCCAGGAGAAAAAGCTAGATGATGATTAAATAATATTTTCCTATTCCACCTTATCCCCTAACGAATAGTCGCAAAAAAAGATTGAATTTACATATCACTTTGGAATTATGAATAATAATATTATCTTTACAAAAAGTTATGATATCCCATTAAAAACATAAATGTGAAAATGGGAGCCAAGTTTAATATTAAGAATACGCGTTGTTATCAACTTCACCGACAAGAGAATTGAGATCCAAATGGGTGCCAAGTTCGGTAGATAATCCTGAATTGTTTTCATAACAACATACAACGTTCTAAAATAAAAATAAAAACACAATTTGTTGTTATTTTCTGCTACAAAAGTGTTTGTTATTTAAAATAGAACTTCTTAAATTTGAACAGTCGAATTATTTACACAGAGTAGATAACTTAGAATAAATTGAAGTTCAAGATTGGACTTGGCTAGTTTTTACATACAAGTTATCTTATATTCGGCTAATATAACTCGCGTCATCTAAAAAGAACGCTGGAAGAAAGTGGAGAGGGTATGTTTGCGCATGGTTATACTAGCGCACAAAAGTACTAAGCCTATTATTTTACTTTTCATAGCATTTCGCTCGCGACTTCATATATTAGTTATTGGTAGGGACATTGAAAAATATATTATATAGAATATCATTAAATAGAATTCTATTCATTATTAAAATATGTTTGGTTCAGTGCAGAATGTTTAATCTACTTACCAAAAATTAAATTAATACGTTTAATACGTTTTTTTATTATTAACTGCATTACTATTAGACTCTCTCTTTGTAAAACAATATACGTCAAAAACAAATTTTCTCTTTTCTATATATAAAACCATTTCATAATTAAAAACTTTTGTGTGCGCGATGGAATTTCGAACTGACGAACCAATAGCGCGCCGGCAAGTTTGCGGCGCGTGCTCCGAGCCGCCCCGCGCCCCGCTTCTTACCACCAATTTGACCGATAAATCGCTTCTGCGCAGCTTGACAGCCAGCGTTCTTTTTAGATGACGCGAGTTATATCTTCATTAAGCTATACGCCAGTTACTGTTTTTTATATAGTAAGGCCAGTTACTGTTTTTTATATTGTAAGGTCTCACTCTTCTAAAAACTTGCTTTACTGATATAACTTGTCATCTGTCTGTTCATCTGTCACAAACTTTTATTGGGAGAGTGTTAAAGCTACACGGCTGAATAATTAAGGTGTCCCATGTGAACCGCTAAACAATTATGCAGTTAAATTATTAAAAATTAAAAAAAATGGATGGCACTACATGTAACCGAGGGGTGAAAAAAATTGAGTCACCATAAGGGTGTGGATACCCTTTAGATAGTTCTTTTAAATGCCAATCTCTGAAGTATTATTCATATCGGGATCATTCTAAACTTGATGACGAGGGCATTTTAATTAATTACTAACTGCGTTAGTCAGATTCAGTTATTAGTAAATACACGAGTACATATTATGTTACGCTCAAAGCTGCGGGGATTTACTGCTAGCTAGGTTATATATATGTATAAAACACTTCCGTAAAACGATTTAGCATTATTGTTTATTATAATTCAGAGAATAGTACGTTATTCAAGGAAATATGTTTAAAATTATATTTTATATACTTTTTTTGGGTAAGTTAATAAAAAAATATATATGTACAAATACTGTACATATAATAGGTATATAATAGGTATATTATAGTGCAATTAAATCATAAAAAACTAACAATACGATCTTAGCATAATGTCCTGCTTTGCTTATAGCCTACATTCTTTATTGTCTTTTTTATTTGTGGTGTCTCATAGCATTCTAACAGTCTCGTTGTAATAATAATTATTTCAGATATTTTATCGAGAGTGCATTTGGCATCGGATTATGGAGGAGAAATAGTAAGTTAAAATTTAAATTTTCTTTTTCTTTTGTAGTTAAACGAATTAAAACGGACCGAGGCATTCCATCAAATTCTGGTATTTTTTTATTGCACTATTACTACTATTGACAATTGTCAATAGTAGTAATAATCTAGTTAAATTTAAATAGAGTAATTAAAACATAAAAAATGAATGTGCTTTGTGAAATTATAATTTACCTAAAATTGTCCCGTGATATTGTAAAAAAGGAGGATAATAATAAAACTCCTTGTAATTTGGAAACACAACAAAGGAGTCAATTTAACAGAGAACAACCACCTACCTAAGTTATATTATAGCATGTTAGCTTATCCTTCAATCCCTCGTACTCCGATTATAATTAAACTAGCGCCTTACCCTTGTTTTGCTTAGATGCGTCCCAGGTGCCCTTTGTATTTATCCTAATTCTTATAATTATATTAAATAAGCTATTCTTATATAATGTACCTATATATATTTTATTTCGTGTATCTCGGAAACGTCTCTAATGATTTAGATCAAATTTTGTATTTAGATAAGGTTTTTTTATGGTATTCAGTGAAATGAGTAGACAGCCCACCTGATGGAAAGTGGTACCTGTCGCCCATAACATCTACGGTTCATGCACTTAGGTTTTATGTTACAAAAATGCAGAACCGCAGGCGTGTTGTCAATGTGAGGACTAATATGATATGCCTCCGCCTGTAATTGCGCTGGTTACCTTATCCTTCAAACCGGAACACATCAATGTAATCATTATTGCTTGGCGGGAGAAATAGATAAGGGGGTGGTACCCATCCAGCCAAACTCCTCAAGCTTGACAGAGTCCTACCACCGGTAAAAGGTTTTGCTTATTATGTTTATTTATGTATGTGTCTTTTCTGAAAAACGCAATTTTTATATCTTTTTCGAAAAAACTCCAAGTGAAGCATGGTCGTCCATGTACTAATATTAAATACAGACAGCGCCACCTTTTGGCAAATTTTATTACTAACAGTAGCCTATGTGTTACTTCAGATCAATGTCTAGTTCTACATGCATTAGACCAATCACAATATATGTAATATGTATAACGATTTTTTTCAGGATATTTATAATGATATGAATGTAACGTATCCCGCGGACCCTTGTGTGCACTTTGATTTAAAAATGCCAGATTTTACAGCACCGAGACGCCGTGTGAGTGAAGTCAGTAAGTTTCTAATAGGTTACAGTTTTTTTTATTAAAATATGTACATCTTGATTACTTGTGGGGATTTTAATGGTATAAAAAATATATTAGACTAATTTGTTCGATTATAAACATCAGTTTTACAATAATGTATGGAAATCTGCCAGATTTGCTGACATTTTTGATTAATGCTCCGCTCCCTTGAGTGGTAGCATGATGATATATAGCCTATAGCCTTCCTCAATAAGCGGACTATCTAATACAAGAAGAATTTTTCAAATCGTATTAGTAGTTCCTAAGATTTGCGCTTTCAAACAAACAAACATTTTAAATAAAACCATCTTTTCGGATTATTTCGCGGATTTATTTTGATGTTTGGTTCCCGACGTTTCGAATGCTTTACAGCAATCATGGTCACGGGAGAGAATCGAAGAAAGTATTAAACAAACAAACAAACAAACAAACAAACAAACAAACAAACAAACAAACTCTGCCTCTTCACAATATTAGAATAGATACGTATAAATGCCCAAATCTTTTATAGTATGTCTTTATGTTTTTGATATGTAAATAAAGCATTATTAATACAAACTGAACATAATTGAGTAAGTTATTCACTTAAAAGATGATCAGAGGATGAAGTCAAAGTCAATATCTGAAGGATTCACGCAATTCTGTATACGTGTTAGACTCGTGTTTAAAGTACATGTTAAGATGTCGATACCGAGTGTTATCGCTTATTAGTAGTCGTTTAACAAGTCAAAGACCTTTAAACGTGTGTAAAACTAATAGCGCCTGAGATTTTCAATTAATATAATAATGTAACATTACACTACACTACCCACTACAGATATGCATTTCCCAACATTAAAAAAATTAAATATATTTATACACACATACATAGATACAATATATACTTACATGTACATACATACTTATGTACTATATTTTTTTCAGAATGCTTGGAGTACATATGGCGATTAAGACAACAGCAGACATCGAAATTAAGAAATTATGAATGTAAGTATACATACATTTCTACAGTAACAAGTACTTATATCAATGAAATAAATTGACATGAAAAATTCACAAATTTTGAATCAATATTTAGGTAATATTATGTATTGGAAAAAAAACAACCATACTATTAAGACATTTTAGAGTGCAATAGTACGTAGTAGTAAGTTTGTTACAATTAACAGTTAATATTTTACCTTTTGGTATACATAGAGATCTAAGTGACACTTCATTAGCCAAACCATCTAAATATACATATAAATCGTACATTACTTGCACATGTATAATTCAAAATACTTTTTATCCGAAAGGCGATTGGACTACGAATTTTCTACCGAGACATAAATAGGTGTGATTGACAGCTTTCGGTCGTAGTGGTCGGGATAAGTAATGTCTCTTTGGAGGCACTCAGCTATCTTGCTTGGCTATTTTTATATTATCGGTACGAATATATTATGTAACTAGCAGTACCCACGGCTTCCCCGCATTCAAACTTCCGATCGCTAGCAAACTTCACAGGATCAACCGCTGGGCTAATCTGAAGATTACCTGAAAATTTCATTAAAATTGCTCCAAACGTTTTAAAGTCCATAGGGCACATATATACATATACACATCGATTTTATATATATATAATGTGTTTTATGTTGCGTGTGTTACACGGACCCTGACTAAGTTACAAGAGAGGACAATAAACAAACTTTACTTTATGTTTATTACAGGTGCATTGTTAAAAAAAATGCCGAAACCAGAAGTGATTGGAGGAAATAATGCAATCCATGGAGAATATCCTCATATGGTAACTTTAAGTCGACTTTGATTGTTTCCTCTGAATGTTAAGTTATTTTAAAAAGCAAAAGCTTTTTTTTTCAAAATGAAAAAAAAAACAAATTTTTTGAATAAAATGTCTCAAAACAATGATAATTATATTATATTGACTACGGCTAAGAGTTTATTCATGTGTTTTCAAAAATTAAGTAGTTTGACTTTTAAAATTTTGGCAGACAGCTGTGCAGGATTGAATTTTGTGTTTTTATTATTCTTGGTGAAGAAATTATAAAAGTATCCATATAAGAATCTAGAATAAAAGGCTGGGTTTAAAGACATTTGTATCCAAAAAAGAACATAGTTCACTTAATATTAGGAAAATTATATAATATAAACTTATATAACTAATCATGCAGTAGTGCTACTTATCTTACTGCATTATATACCTAATAATAATTAATAGGTATTATATATAAATTAAAATAGCATAAAAATAAGAAGTTACTGGTTGGATAGTATTGTATTCAGCTCTTCTTAACGTCCCACTGCTGAGCACGGGCCTCCCTCCCATATGAGGGGGATCACGCCATAGTCCACCACGCTGGCCAAGTGCGGGTTGGCAGACTTCACATGTCTTTCGAAAACTTGGTAGGTTCTCTCAGACATGCAGGTTTCCTCACGATGTTTTCCTTCACCGTAAGGCAAGTGGTAATCATGTTGACAAAATGATTCGCACATGAAAATATCAGAGGTGCGAGACCCGGGATTTGAACCCGCTTCACTCGGTTACCCAAGCGAGCGCGTCACCACTGGGCTACCACTGCCTACCTTTTGGTTGGATAGTATATTAGTATAATGTTGTTATTTGTTTAAGGGAGCTCTTGGTTGGAAAGCAAAAATCGGGACTTGGATATTTAAATGTGGAGGATCACTTATAAGCGAGAACTTCATATTAACTGCGGCACATTGCTACAAAGTTCCCAAAAATGATGAAACCGTTGCAGATTTCTACCCTAAGATTGTGAGACTTGGTAGTAGAAATATTTTGGATGTAAGTATTTTATACTGATAAATTCAGTATATTAGCTAAATTTTTAGTCTTTAAATTCGAAGTCACTTTAAAAAAAACCATTTTCTTTGCGCAGTTTTTCTAAATTTTAACTTACCAATTAATTTTTAAGATAAGTTCTATGTTACTTAACTTATTAACAACATATTCTATTAATTACTGCTTATCTATATACCTTGATCGATTATGTACATAGATTACTATATTATCTCATATTGGTTAATTCCCATAGAATAGAACTTAATATCATCACAGCCATGGTGGCTGTTATTGTTCTACTTTGCCATCGTATGCTATTAGATTATAATGAAAATGAGTCTATTTACTGCTTTAGCTTGTCAGAATTTTATTACAGATTTTTATTAGATAAAAGAACATAGAAAATAATTCAGTAAATAAAAACCTTTAAAAAGTAAAACTATCAATTAAAATAAATTTTAAAAGTTTCAAATCATATTGATCTATAACCTTACGAGTATCAGCACCTCCAGCTAAATTTCTAAGAAATCTATTGTTAACTGACACGCCGGCGTGTCCGTGGTCGTTGAGGGACTCTATTATCGAGTACTTCGAATTAGTGAAATTAAAGGTTGGCAAGTAATTTTTATTTGTATAGGGTACTCAGATCGCTAGTTTATTTATAATTTTGTATACAGAGTAAACTTTCTTATGACGCGGAGATTCTTAAATTCATCCGTCATCCTGAATACAAGGCGCCACGACACTACTTCGACATTGCCCTCGTACAATTAAAACACGAAGTGTATATTCACAGTACAGTACACCCAGCATGTCTTTGGAATAAGTCTGAAGATCCTAAAAAAGGCAATGTGACCGGATGGGGAGTGGTGAACAGCGGTAAGTTATAATAACAAACAAAATTCTTATTTAATAAAGTTGAAGAAATATGACGTCCACAGCTGGGCAAAGGCCTCTTCCAAACATTTTCGATCTTCGAACTGTTTAAAGTATTCAGCTCTTTTGCAACGTCCCACTGCTGGGCGTGGGCCTCCCTTCAGTACGAGGGGGATCAGGCCATAGTCCACCACGCTGGCCAATTGCAGATTGGCGGACAAACAAATTGGCAGAACTGTTTTAAGTCCAGCGAATTTCACCAGATTGCCTGTCCACTTCCTAAATCCTGCTACCATTTCAGCTTCTGCGAGCTGATAGTACTCTTGCTCCTTTTATATTCTCTTATATACTCTTATATAATCTCTCCTGTTATATACTCTTAATTTTATCAGGCAGGGAAACTTTAAGCAAAGATTCATTACTTTTTAATTACCGTGTGCTCTCTTATAAGACCCATAATGAGCGGCTACATATCAATTTCGTATGTTACTACTGGCAACACACACTAATCCAAGACTTTTGTCTTCTTTTAGGCGAGGAAATGTATAGTAGACGATTTGGATTTTATACTTTTTAATCTTTAAATATGTCAGCTTCGATGCCTGTTAGAAAGAAACGTTCATAAAATATAGTTCATAAAAACGAATGTCTTATCTTGTTCTGCATATTGAAAAGTCGTGCTATTTTAACCTATTTATAGACATAAAATATTCTGTTCTATCCTTCCTTCCTCCTTCTATCAATAGGTCCATAATATCTTAAAGTACTTACTTATATTTATAGGTAGACATAAACAAAGTGTAGATAATAGAAAACTAAATATATTATTTATACGGTTCATTATTATATCGTTTTCCTTTATTTTTATAGAAGAATCTGGTCACAAGTTGAATCAATATGTTTTGTCTAGGTACTCAAGCAGTGTCTCCTATACTACAAAAGGCAGAAATTACAATAAGAGACAATGACGAATGCGAAGAAGACCTGATGATTAAGCAAAACAGGAACTGGCGAGGTTTCTTCCGACATCAGTTGTGTGCTGGAGAGATGTCTGGAGGCATAGATACATGTCAGGTTAGTTGTGCCAAGTATATTATTATGTGATCTGTGGCTGTGAAAAGTCAAGATAAGTGAGTAAATTATTTCATGATATAAAATGCTTTGCTCGTAGAATAATCTTACTACTATATATAATATGTATGTAAATGCAAAAGTTTGGATGGATGGATGTTTGTTACTCAATCACGCTAGAACGGCTGAACGGATATGAATGGCACAGAGATAGATTATAGTCTGGAATAGCACATAGGTTACTTTTCATCTCGAAAAAATGTACGGTTCCCGTGTTATAGATATCTAGTAATTAATAATCGTGCAAGGTTTTTGACGACTTTTAAATATATTAGAGAAGTAAACATATAAGTGTATTATAACAGAAATATTTTAATGCTAATTTAAATTTTTGATGAATGTTGTATGTTGGGTTTACTATGAAATGGTTAAATCGATCTCAATTGAATCTATCGAGTACGAATTTTTTTAGTTATATACCTATGTAATACGTTTGTTCAGTACACAGCTTTAATAGCATTAGCATCTGCTTATGTTTATTCTTGAAATTTTATTTCAGGGAGATTCTGGAGGGCCTCTTCAAACACTGATACCAATAGAACGATATCGAGAGTGGACACCTTGGTACATTTATCATGTTATAGGTGTGACTTCCTTTGGGTTCGGATGTGGACAGCCCAACACGCCCAGTGTTTATACGCGAGTCACGAGTTTTCTTGACTGGATAGAAAATATTGTTTGGAAAAATAGTAGGTACTAAGACACAAGATGGTCGGATAATTTTTGTTAGTTAATGTCTCAATTTTCAGTATAAGTAATGAATATAATATATATAATTCGTATTTGTTTTATTTTTTCACTAATATGCAATATATAAAATATGAAATATAACATTATAATTTATTAAATAAACATTTATTATTCACTGAATACATATTTGCTCTAATAAATAGTAAATCCTAAGAAAATAAATAATATTATTAATAACATTGTTTACTTTCGTACTATATATAATATAGATAGTACACAATATGTATATTTGTACAAAATATATTAAAAAAGTCTGTCTGTCATCACCGTCCAGCACAAACCGCTAAGGATAGAAATTTAACTTTCAAAAATTTAATAGAATTGGTCTCATTTATAAAGAGCTTCTCATGAAATATGTTAAAAATAATTCAGAATAAATCAATATGGTATATACTCCCATAGATTAGTATATAGTACCTACAAAATTAAAATCTAAAATTAATAAATGTATACTAAAAATAAAAAACCCGACTGCATAAAAGCTAAATAAAAAGATTAAAACAGGTTCACGAAGGAATATAGTATCTTGCATTTTTTAAAAATTGAATTAATTTCTTAGAAATTTACCTGGAGGTGTAATTAAACAAATCCATCGAGCGGTTTGGAAGATATGAGGGAATAAAGAATATTACAAACAAACAAACATACCAAAATAGGCGCGAAAAACATAACCCTTTCCTTGCAGTCGGTAAATAAAATATATAACATTATTGTTACGGTACGGTTAAGTTTCCCGTAGTAGTTCCGATTAGTATAAAGTACCTAATAGTTAAAATGAAGTCGTATATTAATCTAATGTAATTAGAACAATAAGATTATATTTAATCTAAGAAATTAAAGAATATTGCAGTGTAGTTTGATTTTAAGTGTTAGTAAAAGTGTATCAAATCGTCCAAATAGGAGCGATAGGGTCATTTATTGGCATCCATGTAACAACGCAGTAAGTAAACAAAACCTGGCCTAAAGCCTCACGGCTTAGATGAAACGATAGACGTCTTATTGATTAAAACCTCTCTTGTAGTTAAAATGCTTCGTGGGAATAAAATATAATATGTACATATGTATGTATGGAATATGTATATTGCATACACACATTTTAAATCACCCAAATATAATGCATACATACAATTTACTTACACAAAGATACGTGTGAAAAACAATCTGTTTGCACAACAGTTCCCAATCGTGTGATATGCTATAGAAATAAAATGAAAGAAGCGCCATTAAATTTTATCTAGTTATTTTCTCATGATACAACCCCGTTCCAAAATGCGTACAGAAAATTCCATAAAAAATAATATAGCTACAAACGACTATCCTAAATGTAATGTGTTACTTTACCATATATTGCTAGTTGCTACTTATCTATACTAATATTATAAATAGGTAAAGTTTGTGAGATTGTGAGTTTGTGACTTTGTAGGGGGTAATCTCTGGATCTACTGAACCGATTTAGATGAAATTTGGTAAGAAGATAGTTTGAGACCCTTAATAGGATACTTTTATCCCGGAAATCATCCCTTAAGGCAATGAAAATGGGGATGAAAGGTTGTATGGGAAGTGCAGTGCAGATGCAGATGCGGGTTCAAATGTGGGTACAAACTTTCATTCAGTAGTTTCGCACGAAAGAGTAACAGACATGTATACATCTATACATAATACTAATGTTTCGATGTATTAAGTATATCACTGAAACGTTTTAAATAAAAATATTATTTCGCATATTTTTCAGTTTTACTTAGTTTATTTGTTCCTGACGTGTCTATCCCTGTCGGAACTTTGTGTGCTGAATTAAAAATTAGTGAACTTACAAAAAAGATAACATATGTACATATAGACGAACATTAAACCTTCCCCTTTAAAAGTCGATAGCCGAAAGTTGATTAAAAATTAATAAAAAAATATATAATATGTCAATTTTTTTTCTATTGTTAATTTTTGTTTTTTTTTCTAATTGTTATTTTCTTCGCGTTGTCGAAAATGCTTTTTATTATTTGACAAAAAATGAAAAGTAAAAAAACATTAATTAGTAGGTACATTCTAAATAAAACTATCTTTTCGGAAATATTTCGCCGTTTTATTTTGATTTTTGGTGTTTCGAATGCTTTACAGCAATCATGGTCAGGGGAGAGACTAAGGTTTTAGACATCTCAAAGGCGTTATAATAACGCCTTAGAACTCGGCACCGACTTCGAAAATATCTGATTAGGTATCTATTCTAAATGAAAACCTCCGTTTAGCTATTTTTTACATTTTAGTACCTGTTAGTCGGTTTTTTTTTTTAAGTTTATATTTTTCCATTTTTAGTGTAGACATAATAAGCAGGTAATTTGTAAGAAGAAAGATTTATATGGGACCACCTGGGAAGTATACATACCCTTTGAAACAAAAAAAAATCCAAATCGGTTCAGGCGTCTTCGAGTAATCGGTGAACATATATTTAAAAAAAAAGATTCCGACGAATTGAGAACCTTCTCCTTTTTGGAAGTTGGTTAAAAATATTCTTTTTGCATAAAAGCTCTTTGTGCGAGCCAATATTTAAAAGGGATTCGACGAGTAGCTTCATCAATCAATTTAGAAAAAGCAAACGAAAGCTAAGTTGTTGGTAATACTTTGTGTATCTTTTCTAAGGCAACATTAAATTTTGTATTACTCGTGGGATTGCTGTGTGTAGATTTTGGATTTATTTTTTAAACATTTATTCTGGCATAAGAAAATTGACAAGTGACGAATTAAGATAGATAAATGCGTACCTTTATACTCGTTGTCTGATCAAATAGTGAAACAACCTCAAAAACAAAGATAATATCCATACTAATATTATAAATGTGAAAGTGTGTTTGTTTGTTTGTCCCTCTTACACGTCGAAACGGAGAGACGGATTGGCGTGATTTTTTTTTTGTGCAGATAGTTGGAGGGCTGGAGGGTGACATAGGCTACTTTTTACCGCGGAAGATTATCTAATTCCCACGGGAAAGCACGTATAATACGATCCAAAAAATATTTATAATCAGAATGACTTGAAACTTCGTATTAATGCTCTTCAATAAAATTAAATAAATGCGTGTTTTAGCATTTTTCCAAATTCATCCCATAAGGGGGTAAAATAAGGGATGAAAGTTTGTATGAAACTATCTTTTTAGAGATTTTTTTAGTTTTAGCGCGAGCGAAGTCGCGGGTTCTGCTATTAAGCTATAACCTTCGACATTTTATAAGTTGGGTAAAAATGTTTTACAAGTCAAGTTTTCAAGTCAGTGAAGTTAGAGGTTAAAGGTCACGAAAATCATTTTTTGTACCTTAATCTCGTATCTTTTATAATAAAAATTACATTTGAGCTTATTAAAAAGTTTTATAGCATTAAATTCCCTACAAATTTAGTTTCAGGCAATATTTCATAAAACCCTTGTTGAGATAGAACCCGAAAAGTGTGGGTAGTACTTTGCCAAAAAATATAGCAAGGTAAAGATTATTTCGGTACATATTAAATAGTACATTTTATAAAATCGCATAATAACAAAAAATATACATAATTTTTAAATGAACTTTAATACGTATTATTCATAGATATTATTCCTAAAGAATATTAGAGGAAGCCATTTAATATTTTTAGTGTGCGCCAGCAGGACTGGCTGTTTTGGGTTCCAGCTTTTATGTGATTATACCAGCACGAAATCGATCACAAACCAAAATATTTTAACGCAAAACCATACCTTTAGCAAACTAATCGATTGTTAATAATTCTGAGTATCATATGGTTCAATAATCTTTCTTCTAAGAAGTGGAAGACCAGCATCCTTCTTATTTCTTCGGTCTTTTATCAGATTTTCGATAGGTTCTTTATCTGCGATTTAGTTTGACCTTTTTTTTTTTAATGTTGGGAAATGCATTTACGCACGACGTGTGGGACTCACCGGCGTAATACAGCCAGTACTATCCACTAAAACCCAACAAAACCTTCCCCCGTCTTAATGGGGCGTCGCAGGATCGCTTACGCATTCAACTACGACGCCCCGACGGCAGGTCTGGCGAAGCAGACCACCACAACCATGGGGTTGCTCCACAGTCCACTCTGCTATCAGAGAAGTACCAGGAGCAACTCGCATGGTACCCCGCCCCCCAAAGAGGGCCACCTCCCACCGCCCACCGAAGTGGGCAACCTCCCTGTGCGTTTCTTAGCTTCGCGCCCGGTTGGATTGCCGGGCACTACTGAGCCTCCCCACCACGACAAGGTGAACGCACGTTGGGGGGGCGATTTAGTTTGACCTAATACTTCATTCAGTCATAGAGATATTTCATTGAACATTGCCAAATATAATCACTTGTGCTCTGGTGGTAGTATTCGGTGGTACTCAACCCTTTTTAACATCTCACTGCTGGATGTGTACGGGTCTTCCTTCAACACCAGGTGGATCAGGGCATTGTCCACCACGCTGGCCAAGTGCGGGTTAACGGACGTCTATAGAAAACTTGCTAATTCTCTCAGACATGCAGGTTTCCTTACGATATTTTATTTCGCCGTAAGATAAGGGTAATCAATTAATCATGTTGGAAATTATTCGCACATGAAAATATCTGAGGTGCGTGACATGGGATTTTAACCCGCTTCACTCGGTTTCCCAAGCGAGCGCGTTACCACTGGGCTGCCACTGAGCGAGCGAGCTACCACTGGGCTACCACTGTGTGCCCTGATGGTGCCTTGCTCTAACCCGGAGATTCCCTCCGTCACATCATGATAACAGAAGTAAAAAATATACTGTCTTCTTCGCGCAGGATTCTGAAAGAAGCCTGTTGAATTTTATGAAACAAAGATATTTTATGAAATTAATAACAAACGAGATCTGACGAAAGGAATGTTTAATATCGCTTGATATTCAGGTATTAGAAAAGGAATTATTCCAAAATATGTAATTTTCAGATTAATAACATTTTCACATAACTTAATCTGAA